TAAGAAAACATTATCTAGATAAAAGATGAAATCAATTGTTATGTAGTTTTGAAATTAAATTTTCAGTCTATATCGTTCAATATCAAATTGTGATTTTTGTTGCATGCACAAATACTATCGCATCAAGAACCAGAATCATTAATAAAAACAAATGTTTTTAATGATTCTGAGATCAAAAACACACCAAGATAGGACCAAATTAAATAATACGACTGGCTATTGACAGAGGGTAATGGTTTATTTTTATGTTCAATGATAAAAACAAAGTAAATTCATTCTTCTTTCATTAATAGATTTATGTGATGATTATAACAAGACATTACATTCATTGTGTGGATTGAATGCTTTTCTTATGAGGCACTTATTTTATTATGCAAGTTTGCAATTTTTTGAAGAAGTATACTTCTGAAAGAAAAAAAAAATACAATTTGTAATACATTTTTTTGATGATGGTTGGTTGTATTCTTTGTTAACCAAATAATTTTTGTCTGAATGCTTGCTTGATTTTTTTTAATTATTTATAGCAATTATATTAAATATATATCACAATGCTATATAATATTCACTTTAATGGGAAAAATACTTCAATAAACTAATGAAAAATCACCATTGCAGATCTAATCATGGCTTTATTGGCATTGGCTCATTGCAATGATATTTTCTCTTGTACCTTGATTGTTTTGGTTTCCATTTAAAAAAAAAAAACTGTTTTTATTTGTTTGCTATATAAAATTAGAAAATTTTTCTTTGTAAATAAGTAATGATTAGCATAGTTGTTTTTAACCAGTGTACTGTAAAATAGTGCTTAGCAGTATTATAAAACTTGTGTATTACTGTAAGTATTCAATAACTACATTGATATAAGTACTGGAAGAAAAAAATTATCATGTTCGGGTGACACTATTAGGAAAGTTTGAGAAAAACTGGCTTAGCACAAGATGGTATCTAACCTTTTATCTTTAGAGAAATTATATTATTTATCAAATTTATCAATATTTAAATCATTTATTAAATTAGCTTTATGATAGTCTGTTGTTTAGTTTTTGTTGTTGAGTACTATAATAAATTCAAGCTGTTTGAAAATATTAGTAATGTCTTTTACTTTCAAAACATGGAAATTAATTATTACCACCACAATCATATTATATTAATTTATTTATATATTCTTTTGGCTACATTTTATGGGATAAAATTTCAGGTAAAAATTTAATGATAATACATTTACTACCTTGGAAAAATTATCTGTTGTATTTGGAGTCTGAGTTTGAATCTGAATTGATTCTCAGGAATTTTTCACAGATGATTAGATCTAGATTGTATTAGGTCCTGTTCTTCACTACTTAAGATTGCCTCTTTATATAGGTCAAAACCTGTGAGAAGAGCACAATAAAAGATATCACAGGAAAAAATGTAGTTAGTTCTTTTTGTATGGATACATAAAAGCATTATGTATATTTTGTTTTGTTACAAGTTTATTGTTATATAAAATTAAGGAGAGAGCTGATTCTGAAATTTGAGAAATAATTGTTATAGGTTATTCATTTTTTCAGCAAGGAAAAATTTGGGATAGAACTGAGTCACTGTATTTTGAAAGATGTAATATTGCTATTGTAACTGTGGTGCATTGCTGTGATTTGGTAACTATCAAATGTTCTTAGTGTGAAATGTCTGTGACATCTTATGTTCTGTTGATCTAATATAGGGGTTGCCAAACTTTTCTGATCATTGACCCTTTGCAAATTTTCAAAACCTCACATTGACCCCCACCAAAAAGTTTGTATTAGAAGCAAAAAAAACCTTTTACTACATTAATACATTTCTTTTAATTTTACATTTTTTTACGTTTATTGTATATATGTTGTTAATTTTTGTAACTGACAATCAATGAGCTGGGTAAGCTTGATGATCTTTAGCAAGATTAGCAATATTTCATTCAAAATTTGTAAGTTTTAGTCTTAAATTGCCTGGAAGTTTCACATTCAACTTATTTCTCTGTTTGGTTATTTTAAGATGGAATTATCATGGCTGAAACCAGCTTCAACCATATATGAACTTGGAAATGCCAGCAAAAAAAGATTTACCTTATCATGAAGTTCTGTGTATTTTTGTGTTTTATTTATATTTGCCCAGAAATTGCTCAAATTTAAATTTTTAAAAAGTGTTTTTGCCTCAAGGTCAGTTAATAATTCAGTAAGTTCATCTTGCAAGTTGATGCCGACTTTCGATTTGAGCAGAGAATGGCACCATAATCCATTCTGGGATATCAATATTTTCTAAATCTGAAAAATACTGTGCAATTAAATTCATTGAAACAATATTCAAAAATATAACATATATGGTTATATTTGTGATTTTTAGTTTCAATTTTTCCATCGACCACTTTGGCAACTCCTGATTTAATATATATATATATATATAAACAGCCCAACATAGTATCAAAAAGATTTGAGTAATAATTCTCTTTAATTTTATTATATTACATACAAGTAACCCTTGATATATGTGATTGATTTCACAAGTATACTTCATGTCAAAATTGCACATGTTGAAGTTAACAGTTAATGGGAAATAAATTAATTGATAAATTAGATTATTAATAATTCATCTGAGATCATAACTTTTACATTCATATACACTTAGGTGGAGTAAAAACTTGGAAAATGAAGAAATCAAATTTTAAAATGTTTATTGCAGAATTATTAACAAAGTGCAGTATAATTGAACAAAAACTGAAACAACAGAAAATAACAATAAAGATGTATTATAGAGTTAGACAAACCAATAAAGTAGACCATAAAAAGAAAACTGAAGTAAAAAATTTTAAAAATTAAGCAAAATATTTATCAAGGATGGGATGGCTTGCACAATTAATACCTTTCTTCCCCTTTGTAACATTTCATGAAAAATGGCAGAATTAAAACAGAAATTACACAAAATGTGAAAATAAAGATTAAATTATCCAAATAAGAGCACTGCGCTAGGTAAATTAAAGTTACTTTTTCATACTAAGTAACAATGAGCAGAAATAGCAATATGGAATCAGTTCTAAGCTTTGTCAAGATGACAACAGTAAACTTCCCTCAGAACAGATTCACATCAGCTGAAATCTGCACTGATCAAAACTGTATACAGTGGAATCTTGCTTAACGAGCGCCTTGCATAATGAGCAAAACAAATTGTAAAAAAAATGACTCCCTTAACGAGTGATGTTTCGCATAACAAGTGATGAAGAGGGGAATCCCAGATTGTGCGCATGGTCCAATATTAGCACTTGTTCCACTAGTAACTTAGTATTGCTCGTGATCACACATTTTTCCAAACTTGTGTTCACACATATTACATTGACAATCATAGCTCGTTATATAATAAACACACCAAACGATATGCCAAATTCTTGGGCTATGTAAAGGCTATAATTAAATATTATAAATTGATTAATTTGACTAGAGGTAGGCAGTTATGTTGCCATCTTGTATTAAATTTAATGACCAACTCCAAATTAAATTTTTAAAATGTCTAAATTATAAATTAATTACTTATAATTATTAAATTTAATATGAGATTGCAGCATAACTGTCTACCTCCAGTCAAATTAATTAATTTCTAATATTTAATTATAGCCTTTGCATAGCCCAAGAATTTGGCATCTTTATCAGACATATTATCTGTAATTTTTTTTCTTCCTGCAAATCAAATTTGCATTCCAGGTTGGTTATTCTGTGCTAAAAGAAAAGATGATGGTGATTCATGCTCCTTAACAATGTATATTGTATAATTTTCTTTGAATAAATGTTATATATAAAATATTTGAGTATTTTTTTTTCAGCATGGAATGCATTATCATATTTTACATTAATTTATATGGGAAAAATTGTTTTGCTTAATGAGTGTTTCTCATTATGAGTAAGATTCTGGAATGAATTATGCTCATTAAGCGAGGTTTCACTATATATCACGAGTTATTTATAATGCAAAATCTGAAACATTGTTTGTTCTGAGCATTTCGGGTAGGGATACTCAACTCGTATTTATAAATATCACAAAAGAAAATACATTATAATGTTGTTTTTACAGAAATACAATTTTTGAGTTTATCATCATAAGGAACAGTTACAAATTAGTTTTGTTTCTATTCTAAGTAACAAAACACTTAAGTACAAACAAAAATAGCTTATATGATTTTGTAAAAAAAATTCTTTTATTTGCTGACTATTTTTAGAATATTCTTTTGTATTCAACACTTCTCACAGATTTTTTTTGTTTTATAAAGCTAATTCTTTGTTTAACAAATATAATTTAAAATTATATTGAATTATTGCTATTCATAACAGTATTTCAGAAATATTTAAATCTCTTATTTGCATATCAGAATTTGTTATATAATTTATGTATAATTTTTAAGTTATATGCGTAGTAGTAGTAGTAGTAGTAGTTTACCTTTTTTTACCAGATAAAATTAAAACATCGGAAAAAGTAAAAAAAATTAGATCTTGATTCTGTCAATGAAATAGGTGTTTTTTTTGTAATTCTGAAGTTGGAAGAAACAATTCTCTTAATTTATAATTATCAGTACATTAATCATGCATATAGTTCTTTGCAAGCTTTTGATAAAAAATAAAATCATTGGAGATAACATTACTTTGACTTCATATTTAAGCAATAAATAAGTAAAATAATTTACTATATTCAAGTTAATAAATTGTTGTTTATATTTAAAATTTTATTTTATTAGTATTGTAAAAATACATAATGACATTTATTTTTGTCATATGTCTTGTTGTTTATTTATTTATTTTTCTGTTGTAATGCCATTTTTATGAATTTTTGATATTTGTATAACAACATTTTCTTCCTNTAATGATTCAAAATTCTTTACTGTTTGCAAAGTTAATTTTTTTTTTTTTGTTAACATTTAACATCTAAAATATTTCTTATATTTAACAACTTCATACATGCAGTGAACACAATATTGTTTTGAAATTTGTTTATCAATTATTAAGTTAATTTCATGAGCTTTAATTTTCATTCTTATTTGCTTAATTGTAAATAAAATAAATTTTCGTTTCATAAGATTAGTTCAGCATCCATTGGAGAAGATGAAGTCACTAGATGTGAATGTTGGTTGAAATCAACTGACATTTTTGTTGCTCACAAGATTTTGAAATATCAAACATGAATTGATGTTTGATCTTTCTGATATTGGATTATTTGTGAAAGAGCATAATGGCATCTTGTACAATTCCATCTAAGTTGCCTTCATCAAACAAATGTTCATTTGAACCTTCAGACAAGAATTCAAGCAATACGTTGAAGCGCCATCCAAAAACAGAACTCAATAAGAATGATCTTCTACATTTGTTGAGTGTATTAGAAGGTGAATTGCAAGCACGAGAAATAGTAATAGCGGTTCTTAAGGCTGAGAAGATAAAACAACCGCTTTATCCTTGCAAGAGAACAAATGCAAGTAGTGATCCTTGGGCAGCTCTTCATAGAGATGTATTTGGTGCTTTTGATGCAATACTAGATGAGGTAACAGTAAAAACATTATATAATATGCAGTTACAACAATTAGAAAATTTTATTCTACAACAGCAGAAAGCACGGGAAAAATTACAGAAACAATTGAGAAGTGGAGAAGAAAGATTTGAAAAACTTGTTGTTGAATTAGAAGATGAAAAATGTAAGCATGCACAAGATACAGCTCAAGGAGATGATGTTACTTATAATTTTCATTTCATAAGTATGTGTAGTTTTTTTTATGTTCATATTTGATTTAAAATGCTTACTAAAACAACAAGCAAAAAAATGAATTTTTACATACTTGTAACATTATACAGAAAAATTAATCAATCAATTTTGTGGTTTGATAGTTAATTTTTTCCTATTATTTAATTATTATGTAAGGTTTATACATGTATTAAATAATTCTTTCAAATATGAATATTTTAAAATTAAACTTTTCTTCTCTCAACAAAAGATTTGATAAAATAAATAAATTAAATATTTAATGATGATATAATTTAAAAAGATTTATTTGAGAGAGAGAGAGCATTTCTGTTTATATAATATTGTCTTCAATCATTTTTTAAATAGAATGAAAAAGTACAAATAGTTTTAATTTTTAAAAGTTTAAGTATGTTTGAACTCTCACAATTTTTGTGTTTATTTTTAATTTTATATACTGAACTACTAAAGGTTTTTATAAGCAAAATGCAAAACTAATCTCTTCTAAGTAAATCTTGTAAAATAATTATATTATTAAACATGTATTTAAATTTAATTTTATTTATCCTTTAAATATATTTGATAATTATCTTATTTGAAGAAGTCTATAATTTAGATAGTCTATACAGATAAGATAAATATTTTTGAGACATTTGATTCCATTTTATCTTATGTAAGAAAAATGAGAAAAAAAATTGACTTATTCACTTTTATGAAATCAATTATTTACTAAGGTTAAAGAATTTTTTGAATTTTAACATCTTTGTCTTTACATCCAAACTGAACAGAATAGAATACAACATTTGGAATAAGAGGCAATTGTTAATCAACACACTAGAACCTTTTTATATCTCAGTAAGAACAAATTTTAGTTAAAACTAATGTTTTCGACCATAATCAGACCTTAAATAAAATTAAAAAATATTGTTTTGAGGAAAATTTGGATATTTAGAAAAATCCTAAGAAAGTATTGATATATGTATCTTTTCTTGTTAGCAGCATGATAGAACTGAAAAATAAAATTGTTTATTAAATTAGTAATTGACAATCTTTGTTTGGAGTTTTCACGCTGGATATTGGTTAAGAAGTAAGCATATTTGTTTTATATGACCCGGTGTGGGAGAAATCCTTGGTAATTTAGTAATAGTTTTTATAATGGTAATTTATTAATATACAGTCAACACACCTTAATATTGAGAACACACATTTATTCAGCTAAACAAAAGTTTTCAACCCATTTCATGGGCCATCATCAGGTTAAAGACATTGATTCGAACGTCTTTAACCTGACGATGGCCCATGAAATGGGTTGAAAACGTTTGTTTAGCTGAATAAATGTGTGTTCTCAGTATTAAAGTGTGTTGACTGTATGTTGTTAAAGAATCTGGGTGAGAATAGGGGTAATTTATTATTTTATGTGAAAATAGTTCCTATATGACAAGGAAGACTGACTAGTCTTTTCATTCTCATGGCAACATTTTTTTTTAATGTAAATCATAGTCTGAGTAATTGTTCTTTATTCTGATGTTATATTCAATTTCTGTATTTATTTGCATTTGAAAATGAGATGTTAAAGTTACAAAAAACCAGCAATCTGCCATATTATGGGACTATAATAATAAGGCTTAGTTAATAATTAGATACAAAGTAATTTGTCTAGAGGTAAGCAGTTAGGCATCTTGTGAAAAATTTAATAATTATAATAAATTAATTTAGAATTTTTAGAAATTTCAAAAAATTTTAATCCTAATAAATAAGTGGACTCCTGAAAATGAATAAGCAATTTTCTCATTATTTTTAGTTAATTAAAATAATTTTAATCCCTAAGATGTTAAAATATAGTTTTTCTACTTGTTATTTGTACTAAATGATGAATTATTATTTTTAATATATTTCAATTTAAAATTTGTTATTAGTGATTCTTTAATATAATATCTAAAGATGGTTTTTCTTGGGTGAAATCTCCAAAGAAATTTGAGATATAGTCTATTTATGAAGTAGTCATTTATTTGATATGTAATTGATATGATTTACAGAGGCTAATGCTTAAGAATTACACAAATGATTCTCATTTGCATAATTGCTCAATTTAAAAAATATGATTATATTTGTGAAATAAGTAATTTTTCTTTGTATTGAATTAAAGAAATAATCAAGCTGTTTACAGGCTACGTCAATTAACTTTCTTAGTTATGCAAAAAATGGAAAATAGTATATATTTGGAATAATCATTATTATTTTAAATGTTATTAGATAAAAGCTACACTTGTAATAATACATTCTACAATGTTTATTTAAATTTAAAGAAAAGAATGTATATTATTTTTATCAATACTTTTTGTGTTGTGGAGTTAATTGATATAGCAAATGAGTGAGTTAATTAATAATTACATATGTTTATGAAGCAAATGAATAATTGACTTTGATTCATATGATAGTAAATTTCCATTAGTTTGTATTACTTTAACAGAGACAATTTTATGTAATTATTATTAAGTTAATTTAACTTAACTAAAAATATGTATTTTTTTTATATTTTAGTATCAAATGGTCCAAAGGATATGGTGAAGGATGATGAATTTGATTCTTGGAGAAACCAACCCCATCCTGTAAGAAAATCTTAAAAATTTATGAATTATATTTATAATAGAAAAATATATGTTGTGATTTATTTATTAGATTTGACTATAATTATTGTTTATATTCTTGCTCAAGACTCATGAAAAATTATTATTATGTATATTGTATATTTGTAATTCGTAAAGATTTTTTTTTTAAATTTAAATTATTGAATTTTTACAGGAAGATTGATTTCCTTTTTGTATCTTAAAAAAACTTCAACCACATTACAGATATCATTATTTTATCTTTATATTAAAAAATATGTGGTATTTTTTTTAAGTTTGAAAGTATTTAAAAAGTTTTTTAAAATAAACATTGAAAAATTAGTTATTTAAGTTACATTACATTTAATTACATTAAGAAGTTATTTCCATTGATCTTAGCACACACAGGTCTGCTTTCTTGGAGAAAAATAAAATGAAGTTTCTTAACTCAAGTAATTTTATATTTGGCCTCTCAGTCCATCATCAGGAATACAAAATTATTGTTAAACTTTTTGTACTCATAATGTGATGAATTGAAAGCATGAAAATATTTTGTATTATGAGAGGGATTTTTATTTTGTCTCCAAGAAAGCAGAGAAGTAAGTGTACATAATTGCATTTACATAAATTTAAAAACATAATTTCAAATTTTTTGTGAACTGTTTGATGTCTAACTTGCATCTTAACAAAAAAAATATAAAATTTAGGATTTAATAAAGAAAAAGAAATAGTGATTTATTTCTCAAAAATATTGTTTTGAGCAAACTTTGGATATTTAGAAAAATCCTTAGAAAGTATTGATGTATGTATCTTTTCTTTTTAGCAACATGATAGAATTGAAAAAGAAAATTGTTTATTTAGTAATAGTTTATATAATGGTAATTTATTATTTTATGTGAAATAGTTCCTATATGACAAGGAAGACTAACTAGTCTCTTCATTCTCATGGTAATGTTTTTATCCACTTTTTTTTTTAAATGTAAACTGCATTCTTATTATAAATCATGCGTTTGCTGTAAAAAGTGATTATTTATATCAATATATAATTTATATTAATACTAATGCTTAATTTTTTCAAATTTTCTAAAAATGAAAATTGATTAAAATTGAGAATTACAAAAAGGGCTGTAGTCTAATTTGCTATATTTGTTTTTCTACATAATAAAATTTTTTGATGCTTCAAAACAACACACAATATTCTGAATAAGGGCAACTGTGCTTTTATTGGAAGATTAAATCCTATTTTTCAAAACTTCCAGGTGATGTGCAAGGACACAAATCCAAGATATGGGATGTGTAGGTTTATGAAAATGAGATCCCTTTTCTATGCTTCTAATGTTGGGGTAGAAAGATATACACATACAGATGTATAACTGATACATGCTAAAATTTAAATGGTACATTATGTTCTAATTAGAACATATTAATGATAAATTTAAGACTGTATATCAATGTTCTAAAATTTGTTCTCGGCCTGTAGATGACATTCTATAAATGTTGAAAATACTAATTATTTCTGTATTTTAATTACTGACGCTCCTTTGAAGGTTGGTTTCAGTAGTAATGCATTTTAGTAGGTTACAACCCACTAAGGCTGCAAGTAATTCTAGCCAGGGTAAGGTAATCCTTTTGATGGGGGCTAGATGAGCTTTGCTGCAGAGAAGACATGTAGAGGTGCCTGATGGAAGATTGGTACAAACGCTAGTATCACAGAAGACATGAATTCTTGCTAAATGTAGGTTTAGACTTGTTTTAATCCATCTTGGTATAGACACAAATGACAAGTGTTGTAGGTCTTCTAGCCACTGTTTCCAACAAGTTGAGATATCTGCTGGCAAGACTTCATCCCATTGGAGTCCTCAGAGCCAAGTGTCTTGAAAAACGATTATTTCCTGTAATATAGATAGGTGCAAAAAAAATATAGATAGGTCATAGAAGTGAGATGATGTGGCAAGTAGCAGGCATTTCGTACCGGGGTGTTCCACAGCATCTGAAACAATGTCATTGTAGTCTGTAAGGAGTTCATTCTTTAAGGTGTCCCAGTCTACTCCGAGAACTCGTGTTTTCTGAGCGTATGCTATGTTCTTGTCTTTTCAGAACTCCTTCGGCAATTCAGAATTGGTAGCCCATTTTGCCATGGGAAGGTGAATCTGACCCATCATACCTATAATGTCCTGATATATTTGTATGATGGCAGGGTTAGTATTGTCTCCTGCTGAGAAGTTGTCCATATATAGACCTTTGTCCAATATTTGGGCAGCTGAGGGGTAGCTGGCTGTGGTATGGAGCTGGCTACGTGTTCCTGGAAAGTGGCTGACAGGAGAAATGGACTGGATACTAGTCTGAAAGGCAGCCATTGGAACTGGTAGGCAGCCAATTCAATTTCTTCATAGTGTGTAGATGTTCCCTTTCGTCTGTGACCACCTTAAACCAGAAGAAGCGGGTGACATCTTGGTCATCAGGATGCAAGATCAGCTGGAGAAAGGCTTGACTGCCATCTCCCACTAATGCCCTTTTGTAAAGATGAAAGCAGAGTATTGTTGCTAGATGTTTGTCATCAGGTTGGGATCCACTTCCAAGGCATCATTGAGGGCAGGATGCCCTTTTGCATGAGAAGATGCATCAAATATGATACGCCATTTGGCAGTATTGTGTTTGCTTCGGATTGTTGCGTGGTGTGGCAGGTAGTAGGTCTATTGTAATTTTGCTTGTTTGTCAACCTGTTTCACATGACCATTGGAGAAGTAGTTGAGCATGTGGCAGGTGTACATATTGCTGAATTCTATATCTTTGCTGAATCTGCAATGTAGGGCCTCAAAATGTCGCAGAACAGTTGTGTGGTTTGTATCCATGAGGCGGATGTTCTGTTTCCAGGGCAGACGAACCTCTGCCCTTCCTCCCTTGATCTGGAAGGAGTGACAGAAGCCATCGAGCAGATGTGCATTGTGGCTGGTCAATGACCTCTTCTGACTCTCAGATGCCAAGGATGTCCAGATCCCACATTGACCATAGTATCAGATCCAAAGGGGTTGTAACGCAATTAACCTGGACTGGGTGAATTGAGACATTAGTCCGGTTGCTGTTCAAAATCCAGCCAAAGTGAGGGGGGACTAATGTCAGGGTGTCATTTATGTGGATGGGGCTTTTAGTTTTGACAAATAGCCAATAAAATTTGGATCCAATTAGTATTTCAATGGGTAGATTATATGACTCCTGCTGTTGATCTGCAAGTTCTAGTTCTGGTATCTCTGACTGAATAGTCAAACTGTGACACCGTCAGATGAGGGAGATACGCGTTTGAGGATTCTGCTGCTATTAAGGATGTAGCAAATCTGCTGACACAGTTAGATAGAGTGAGTCTTACTCGACAATGTGATGTTTAGATGCTGGCATCTGATTCAAAGGCTTGAATTGCCAATGGTTCGTATCCAATCACATCCAGTTCTAACAAGTAAATGAGGGGGGGTGCCAATGAAACTCCTTTGGCTTCTCGGATCTAAGACACATCTAACTTCTCTGGCGGTACTGTTTGCTCCATGAATCCAAACTCGAGTTGTCTGTAGATATGTAAAGTCAGAGTGTACATCGATTTTACTCACTGTGGCTTGAGATGTATTAATGGTTGAGGGAACAAAAACCAGAGTGAATGTTATGAGTTGGGTTGCACGTTGTATTGATCTGTTAGCTGCAACTGTCATATGGGTTTGTGTTGGGTTTGTCTCATATATTGAGATATGATGATTGCAGCTACATTGTTGACATGTTAGTTTTCCTTATCGGGCAGTTGTGAGCAGTGTGATTTTGGCCTAGGCACAGAAAACAATGGTTAGTCTCGCGGAGTTTCGCTGCGCAAGACTAATCAGATTTGTTATGTGTGCAGTCAAAACTGAACTGGTGTAAGCTGTTGCAGAAGGCACACGGAGGATGGGAGGATCCTCTCCTTTTGGTGTTTCTTATTGTAGACTTATTCCTTGTCCGGATCACTAAAGTGGCTGCCAAAGCTCGGGGGTTCTTCTCTTGTGAGAAACTGATCCTGTGGTCCGTGGATAGTAGCTGTGGTAATGATATCGTTATTTCATCTTCCACAAACTTCAGCAATTGTTCCAGGTTGGACTCACTAGTACTCTTATGACGAGCGTGGACAAGCCATCGTTCACACAAGGAATCTGGGAAGGCCTGAAGGATTTTTGGTGTTAGGATGCATCCATAGTGGCTGATGGGCTCTCCCAGGGCTTTCAGAGCATGTACCCTATTATTGCACTCAACAAAAAGGTTGTTCAATTCAATGGCTGTAGGATGGATCAGAGGTTGCAGACCCTATGTAGTCGATGTGTGCCTGAATTATATGGTTCTTATCTCCATATATTTTCAATAGTTGTTCCTTGGTCTCAGCATATGTCTCTGCAGTTATGGCAATGCAATCTACTAAGTGCTTTGTCTCTCCTTGGAGACTTTTCCGAAGAAAGACATGCTTCTCAATGTCCAGTATGTTAGAATCCTCATCAATAGCTGCTGCAAACTGTTTCCAGAAGCGTTGCCATTTAGTGATTTCACCTTCAAATGATTCAAGAACCAAGACAGCAATCTAGTGTGAGTGGTCGCCTATGGTTGACTGGTAAGGGAAGTGGAGTCTGGACTTATGGGACTCGCCATAGTCAGGTTGGATATGGTGTTCCTGCAGTCGAGAACTTGTTGGACTCTAATCACAGCGAGTCTGGTGGATTCTTCCCTCTCTTTACAGATAGTGGCATTGGTTTCTTTTCTATGTCCTTGAGTTTATCGTGAATGGCCTCATCTAATATCTTTAATTCCCTGTACCATTTGTTCAACATGTCGTGGGACAGTTTGATTTCGTCAGATGGCATCAAGTCAGAAATGGCATAGACCTTGCCAATCATCTTTGTCATGTACATTCTTACGGTATTGTGGCGGCGTTGGAGCTTGCTCAATTCCTTGTTGGAATTTGAATTCATTCTGGTCGGAGATGTCTCGGTCATATTTCG